ATGGACAATATATATTTGAAGAGAATTAACGATTCGGGTATTAATAAGAAGAAGATATGATTGGCTGGAAAAGTTAAAATTGAAACGGAAACGTTTATTACTGCGGGAAAATCATTTCACTTCCGGTTGTTCGATATTGACAAAACGTGAATGTATAGAAAGGCACAACAAATCTGTAAATATCTTCGCTGGATTATCTGTCGTGAACGTGGAAGAGGAAGGAATAGCCGAAGGATGGTACAACCACATTCCAAACCAGGTTGCGACAGCAGGACCTTAAACCTGACAATCGACACATTCAAATTGACAGAACTGTGGCAGACGACCAACCGGATACTATCCAAAGACATCATTTAAAAAGAAGGCTCATCACAAAAAAGTATACGTACCTGCCTGAAAAAAAACACGAGGAAGTAGATAAAAAAATGACGTCACAAAAAACGGTTAAAAATTTTACAAATTGAATAAATCCCTACAATAATAATAATAATGTTAAAACGTTAAATAAATAAAAATGGAGTCGGTTTATTGTAAAAAAAAAAAAAAGACATTTTACGGATTTATTATTATTATTATTAAATAATTTAGTAAAACGTGTAAAACAATGAGAGAGACAAGGAAAGAAAATAAAAATAAAAAAAGAATTTAAAATGGTTTGAATGTTTTCGCCATGAACGAGACCAACTGACGACGTCATCATGACAGTCGTCTGAATAATTCAAAATGGCGGCGACGATTTTAAAAAAGGGAAAATCAAATACAAAAAAGTTTTATAGTCAATAAAACCGATTTCTTTACAAAAAAAAAAAAAACGATGACGACGATGATGACGATGATGGCGATGATGATGATAAATTTATGTATGTTTTTTTTGCGTATCGTGGAAAAAAAAAGAAAAATTGAATGAAAATAAAAAAATTATTTTCAAACTCTAATTGAGGGTTAACCCAAATAATAAAAAAAAAAAAAAAATTTCTTTGTATTCTAGTCACGTAAGTGCCGGAGTCTTTTTTTTTTTTCACCCACTCAAACATTTTCCAAAATTAAATGAAAAAAAAAAAAGCGACTGGAAAAAAAAAAATTCGATTCATTCGATTAATCGAATCGAAATTAAAAATAAACAAAAAATTTACACACCTGTTCGTTCGTTCGTTTCGGTGTCAATAATTGTAATCAAAAAACAAAATGGCGGATCAGATTACGATTGAATATAAAATTTACGACACGAATATTAATATACTTTATTATCATTATTATCATTATCATTATTATTATTATTAATGTGAAAATAATTAAAAATTTTCAAATTTTTGAGGAAAAGTTTAGATTTGTTTATTATCTGGAACGATGTTAGGGAAAAAAAAATAATTGAATTTTTTTTAAAAAAATGATTTGTTTATTTTTCCAATAGCAGACGATATTTTTTTTTTTTTGTTTTTTTTTTTTGCGTTGTGAAAATTTTTATGCATTTATTTTTTTTTTTTTTTTTTTTTGAGCAACGTTATAAACTTAACCGATTTTTTTTTCTGGAATTTGTATTTCCCGAGAATAGCGCCCGAAGGTTTTTCATTCCGGGAAGAGAAAGAGAAAGAGTGAAAGAGAGAGAGAGAGAAAAGAAAATTTCGATTTTCAATTTGTTTTCTTTTTTTTTTTTTTTTTGTTATAAAGTAAAAAAAAAAAAAGGGGGGGAAAAGTTCGGCATTCGAGAGTGTTTTCGTTTATCGATTTAATCGATTTTCATATCGATCGACTTTAGTAATAATAATAATAATAATAATATTACATCACAAATAAAAATTTTTTTTTTTCATTAGTGCCACGACGACGATTTTTATTTATTAATTTTGCAATTTAAAATTTTAAAAAAAAATTTTTTTTAATTAGCATTTTATAAGAATTAGAATTTTTGATTTTTGTTATTTTAAAAATGGCGATGAATTTCCCTCCCCTCCTTCGCCTCCCTCTCCCCTCACCCCGTTTTGTTTTGTTTAATAACAATTATCAAATTAATTAATTTATGAAAATTTTTTATCATTTTAATCAACGCGAAATATTTTTTTTATTTTTTTAGTAAAAAAAAAAAAAAAAGGAAAAACGTGGTTTGAATAAAATTAAATTGAGTAATGACGTCATTTTGAAAAAGGAAGAAGAAGAAGAAAAAGGGGGGGAAATTTTTTTTTTTTTTTTTTTTTGATGATCTCTTTTTTTTCTCTCTCTTTCTCTCTCTCTTCCCCCTCCCTCTTTTACGCCATTTTTTTTTTTTTTTTCATTTTATGTTTTATTTTTCTATCTTTTTCCTTTCTCTTCGTTCCTTTGACCCTTTTAACCCTCTCTCTCTCTCTCTCTGTTTTTCTCCTTTTTTTGTTCAAAAACCTCCTCCGCGTATATTTTGACGTGGTTGTAAAAATTGTAATTATTTGCGTTGGAGACGTTTAACGATTTAAATTGCATGATATCCCGCAGAGCGGGCGGGTGCTTCCGTATCCGTTAAACAAATTTATTTCCTTTTCCGTTTATTTAATTAATTTATTCAGAAAAGCGAATTTCTTTTTTTTTATACCGTCGTCGTTTTTTCATTCGGATTACAATAAACTTATTAAATAATTCTGCTTTTTTTTTTTTTTTTACGACTGGAAATAACTTTTACTCGGTGGTTATAATAATAATAATGATGATGATGACGATCACGATGACGATTATGATGACGACAGTATTTTTTTTTTTTTAAATAAATTATTTAATTTAAAAATCGATCGATGGTTGAATGAATGGATGAATGAATGGACGCTATTATTTATAAAAATATTTAATAAATAATTAAAAAGAAAAAAAAATGTTTGCACCTGTTTGTGTAATAATTTTCGTTGTTTCCCCCCCCCCTCCCCAAAAAAAAAATTTTTAAATAAGACATTTTAAAGGTAAAAAAAAACGAAAAAAAAGTTTTTATTAATGGCCGTTTTTCATTTTGTTTTGTTATGTTTTTTTAAAAAACTATTTAGCACAAAGCATGGATGTGTTTTTTTTGTTATTATTATTATTATTGTTACTTTTTTTTTATATGTCTCTGTCTTTTTTTTTCTCTCCTTTTGTTTTATCTCTCTGTTCCTTTCTCTTTTTTTGTCCCCCTTGTTCGTTTTCACTCTTTTTTTTGTTTTTCACTCTTTCTCTCTCTCTTTACTTTTCTTTGTGTACCCCCTCTCTTTCTTTCTCTATGTCTCTGCATTTCTCTTTTTGTGACCTTCTCTCTCTCTCTTTATTTCTCTTGAAAGTGTCCCTCTCTCTCTCTTTATTTCTCTTGAAAGTGTCCCTCTCTCTTTTTATTTCTCTTGAAAGTGTCCCTCTCTCTCTTTCTTTCTCTTTACTTCTTTTTGCGTACCTTTGTCTATCTCTCTCTATTTTTACTTCTCATTGCGTACCTTTGTCTCTCTCTCTCTATATTTACTTCTCATTGCGTACCTCTCTCTCTCTCTCTCTCTCTCTTTATTTCTTTTTGTGTCCCACTCTCTCTACTTCTTTATCTCTCTTTGTGTCCCTCTCTACCTCTTTGTCTTTTTAATTCTTTCTTTGTTCCCTCCCCCTCTCTCTCTCTATCATTTCATTCCATTTTCACATCCCCGTTTGATTTTCTTTTTAGTCATTTCACAATCCCAGATTTCGATTAAGTTTCCTGAGGGGTTTTTCCATCAATGAAAATTTTCGGTTTTAAATTTAAATTTAAATTTTAAAAAAAAATTTCTATATATAATGTAAACCAAAATCAAAAATTTATTTATTTTATTTTTTTATATTACGATGCCAAAGGAGATAATAATAATAATAGTAAAAGGCAACGAATTTTCCGGAAGAAAACTTTGTAGTTTTTTTTAGGGAAACTACTCAAAAATAAAAAATAAAAAAAAAAATATTTTGTTTTTTTTTGCAACCTCGTAATAATAGTAAAATCTTTTTTTTCTTTTTGGCGTCATTTTGTCGCTCGCCTTTCTATACTCCCCCGCATATTTTTTTTTCTTTTTCTCTTATTCCAGTTTTTCAAAATCCATGACCAATCGAAATGGTTTTTTTATTTAAAAAAAAAAAATTCCTTTTGTGAATGTTTCTAAAAAAAACTATTTATTTATTTTTTATTTTTTTGTCGATTCATAGATTTTTCTATTATTATTATTATTATTATTATTATTATTATTATTATTATTTTACACTTTTTTTTTTTATTCAATTTGAATTTATTTTTTCATTGGAAATTTTTTTTTTTTTGATTTTATGTTAATACACGTCATCAAACTTATAAACATAAAAAAAAAAAAAAACAAAAAAAAATTTTTTTATTACTCTATGATTTCATTCAAATGAAAATATTTCCCCTCCCCTCCCCTTCCCTCTCCTCTCCGTTTTTGAATCACAAATTTAAGTTGTTGTTTGACTCAATTCTTTCTTTTTTTTTTTTTTTTCCTTTTTTTCTTTTCCAAGTTTAATGTCGTCTCTAAGGAAAAAAATATTTCCTTCCATAAAAAAAAAAAAAAAAAAAAAAAAAAACAGTCATTTTTCTTTTTTCTATTTTCTTTTTTTTTATTTTATTTTATTTTCCTCCTTTTTTTTTTTCTTGGCTAAATCTGAATGAAATTCTGACGTCATAATTGAAAACATCATAATGAAAACTTTATATGACGTCATTTATATCTAAAAAAAAAAATAAAAATATTTTTGTCGCCTTTTTCGTTTTAACGTTTTTTTCTTTCTCTTCTAATTTTATATTTTATATAATTAATATAAGTAAAATAATAATAATAATAATGATAATGTTTTTTGTTAGTTGATGTTTGAATTTTTAAATGTGGGTGGGAGGGAGAGAGAGAGAGAGGGAAGGGAAGGTGGTTAAGAAGTAGTTATTGTGTGATTATTATTATTATTCGGGTGGGAAAATGGGAAAATTTTACAGGTATTTACAAAATAAAATAAAATTTTAATTTTTTCATACAGAATGTCCACAAGCGGAGGATGGTATGGACAGATTTGCATGTCCAACGCCTGACAGAATGGGACGATACAGGTGTATAGATGATCACGTTCTTTGTGATGGTTTCATAGACTGCCCAAATGGGGAAGACGAAGATAGACAAGCGTGCATGTTTTACAAAACGGTAAGTTAATAAATAAATAAATAAATAAAAATTCAAATATTAATTAATTAATTAACGTATAAATTAATTAATATAAAATCATTATATTTAAAATAAAACGGGGAAAAAAAAATTATTTATATAATGAATTTTATTCGGGAGGGAAAAGAAACGGGAGAAAACTTTTCATTTTTATAATTAAGACGGATAATAATACTAATAATATTAATTAAAATTAATATTTTATTTGTCAATTTTTTTTTAAATAACAAGAAATTATTCATAAGTAGATTTACAAAAATAATAATAATAATAAAAAAATAACGGAAAACTCATTTAAATGATTAATTTTTTGAAGCCTTAAGCGAATTCGTTTTAAATCCGGATTAGTTTAATCTCGATTAATCGATAATCGATTGTTTATAATCGTATATCGATTACATTTTCCTACCGTTAAAATTTTAGTTCGGTTTTTCACCACCGCTACAATGCGACATTATAAAAACATGGCGGATGTAATAATAATAAATAATAATTCGTCATCGATTTTTTTAAAATAAAACGCGGCGTGGATTTTTTTTTTTTTTTAATAACGGAATCGATATTTAAATTTAAACAATTTTACGCAATCACGTGATTGAATTTAATGGTGGGAAAAAATTACGCCGCGTAAACGTATATATGTGTGTTAATTATGTGTTTCAGACGAAGGCTCATCTGGATGTTATAGCTGATGCAGTGCTCAGATGGGCGAGAGGCCGTTAACAATGAGGCATCTAAAAAATTGATAAAATTAAACAAAAAAAAAAAATTATCGTTATCAAATTTAAAAAAAAAACAATAATAAAATTAATAATAATAATAATAATAATAATAATAATAATAACGATAACAATAATAATAATAATTTAAAAGAAATATCGTAAAATAAAATTTTCGAAAAAAAAATATAAAAAATTTTCTCCCGTAAACTTTCACAAATAACAAAATTAAAATATTTAAAACGAAAAACATTTTATCGATTCATCGATACATCGATCTATATATCGATCGATCGATCGATGGATGTTAATAATTTTTTTTTTCGTTTTTTCTTTTCTTTTCCCCCCCCTTAAACATTTCAAATTATAATTTTTTTTTCATTTTTGCGTTTAAACTCTCCAATTAAAATCTTAAATAACTTATTAATATTAATAATAATAATAATAATAATAATAATGATATTAATAATAATAATGATAAATATACGTGTTAGTAATAATATGTAATAATAATAATAATAATAAAAATTATTTTTTCAATGCTATTTAAAAAAAATGACGGTTATTTTTTTAATTTTTTTTTTGTTTATATATCAATATCGAAATATATATATATAAACGATAATAAAATTGATTAATTAGAAAAGAAAAGGGAAAAAAAACGATAAAAGGAAACAAATAAAAAAGAAAAAAAGGAAAAAGAAAATGGAAAAAATAAAATAGATAGAAAAACAAAAAAAAAAAAAGTAAATTCAAATAAAATAAATCAACCCGGGGAAGTAGAAAAAAAAAAAAAAAAAAAAAAAAAAACTAATAAATATACATATACACATTATCTAACCGTAAGATTTAGAAAGAAAGAGAGAGATAGAGAATAAAATTAAAAAGGCGCAAGGAGATTTTTAATTAAATTTTTCTGGAAAAATCGAAAAAGCGGAAATAAAAAAAAAAAAAAAAAAAAACAAACGACAAATGAATATTTTAAATCGTTTGAATTTACTTTCTTTTTTTTTAAAGGGCAAAAACAAACGCAAACAAACAAACAAACACACGACAAACACACAAGCAAAAAAAGAAAATTTAAAAAAAAAAAATTTTAACTTTTCTCTTTTAATTTTTTTTTGCGTGTGTGCGTGTGCGTGTGTAAATCTCAAAAATTTGTTTTTCTTTATTATTATTATTATTATTATTATTATTATTAATCGTTGCATAATTAATTTTTCAAATTTTTATTCGTGAGAAAATTTATTTAAATTAATAAACGAATGAATGAATTAACAAAAAAAGAAATTATTTTTATAATTAACGGTTGTTGTTGCAGTTGTAAAATTTAATTTTTTCTTTTTTTTGATTGGTTGAATTTTTTGCTTACGTAAATAAAAATCGGCGCTCTGATTGGTTGAAATTTTCCTCACCGGGAAAAAGCAAAAAGAAATTATTTTTTGACTTGTACTGTTATTGTTATTATTATTGTTATTATTATTAATTATTTATTATTATTACTATTAATTATTATTATTATTATTATTAATAACTTGAAAAAAAGGAATGATTTAAAAAAAAGACGTTATATATAAGAGTACAAATTTTAAATTGGGAAAAAAGATAGAAAGGAAAAATTA